TATAGACAAAAATGAAAAATATGCAAATTTTGAAATCAATTTTCTCAAAAAAGCCATTTTTTATTTCGTTCATACTTTTTTAATTTATTGCCCAGATTCTGCTTAATAACCGGGTATAAATATTGCTTGACCTTTTTTTGTTGTAGTTTTAGGACAACCAGTTGAATAAGCCATTTTTATCGCGTAATACCAACCTCCGGCTCCGGTATGCGGGCTTCACCGCAACATTGATAATTGGCTCAGCAATATCAGATTTCACTGAAAACTACTTTACCCCGTTGAATTTTTACTAATATATTTTTAAAAAAATCAGTAACGTCATAAAGAAATGAGAGATGGCTGAATTGACGAAGTGATGTCTGCGAAGTCACAGCTTGCATTTTCGAACGTCGCCACGACAACGTTTTACTACTGAGGTTGCACGAAACTTATATATTTAAATTATTTGTTTGAACATTGTGCCGTGATAAACAACAACAAAAGTAAATTTAGTTAACATCAATGTTAACTAGCCTAAGCGAGTGGAGAGATCCAAGACGTTTCATCCGTTTCGATCATGTCGGGTTGCATTCTACGGCACTATCCAGTCCAGAAAAACAATATCCCCGTTTATGCGTTTCGGACAATCTTTATTTTATACAAACATTATCGGAAAATCGGCTCGAATTTTTTCAATTTACCGCATGGCATTCTTTCGCCTATCCTTCATTGGCCCTTAGTATTCCGAGGTACGTGAAAAAAAAATTGACTACATTTTGTCCATCCTTCGGCTTTTGGACTACTTGTTGCATACGTTTAAATTTTTTGGGCTACGCACAGCATATCGGAAGTTGCTTTTCAGCTTACAGTAATCATACTCTTTTGTTGGCAGTATGCAATAAAACATTCATAGGTAACAGTTTAACAAAATCACTCTATTTATTGAGTAATTTATTTGGGTTAACAAGGCACACCTATGGAAACACATAATTTTTCACAGAAGCGCAAATGTACAAGAAGAGGCTTTAACAACAAAACAAAACAAAGCCGTAGATCATCTGAGAGTTCCGCACGTGCACCACAGAGGTTCATGCATTAAGACGAAGATAGAACAGTTCGCTCAAGCTGCACTTCGCCCTTTTCGCGTCGCCACACGTGCGAAGCGCGGATGCCTTTCCGAATCGGTACGCAACTCCACTCTGTTTTCTTGATTCTGCGGAAGTCACTCACCTCCTTCTCGGTTAAGTTCATGAGAGTTACGTTTTTGACACGCCTTCCAACCTTGTCCACAAAATCTACTGATGTTCGGACGAGCTGCTCCTCCGGTGAACGGAGGTTGTGCACCGTTGCGTGGTGTTTGAGAAGCCCTCCAACCCCGTCACAAGAGTTTTTACCATGCCCAGAGGCAGAAAATATCCACTTCAATTGGGTATGGCCCACTCGCTCGAACTCATGCAGCTGAAATCTATTTTTAAAATGAGCAGGTGCCCCGTCGGATATGTACGTTAGTGAAGCATAAACTGGGATGTGCTCCTCCAGCCAGTCTTCTATAAGTCTCAGAGCCAGCAGCGCATGGGAAGTGTCATGGCATAAGTCCTCACAGACAACGCCGAAGCATTTTGAGCCTTGCGACGTGGATGCCACACACGTGAACACAGAGAGCTGACGCTTGTGCCAGTGGTACTCCTGTATCTCGTGTGGCAAAATTACCGTCCAGTTCTCCGCAAAATCGAAGTGCATGACGATGTGTCTTGAGGTCACACTAGACTTCTCAATCCGTATGGCTTCCCGTTGTGTCCTACGAATAAAATCGTGCGTGGAAAACTTTGTGGCCCATTTCTGTAGCTCTTTCAAAAAGGCGCTGGAGTCGGCAGTCTTGCTTATCAAATTACCATTCTCCCATGTGAAAAATGTAATTTCCTCTTCAGGCACCATTTCCAATGATTCTAAGGAGAGTCTGTTAGTCGAGGGGCAGTCTTTGCATTCGCCTCTGAAACATTCGGACGAGGGTTCAGGGCAGAGGCACAAAGCGAGAATCTCCTCTTTTGTTATTTTTTCTTCTCGCATGCTGTTCAGGGTGGAAAAGCACAAATCGAAATTCGTACAGCACACACATGCACAGACAGTCTGTTCAGGGTTTAGCTTGACCCACTTTGGCCGCAGCGAGTAAAATTTAGTCAGACCTAATTTTGAGTCCGGGTTTGCTTCCTTAAACAGCCTGTACGTCTCTCGGACAGACCTTGTCATATACCGCTTCACGACCACATGTTCTTCGCCATCCTTCAGAAGCTTAACAGCATCTTTTTTGTTTGGGCTCTGCCGAGAACAGTCGAGATCGTCGTCGGTGTAATATTGCGTGGCTGCCCGTATGGTGTCCTCGCTTATGCTTCCACCGTGATAAGGCTCCGGACGCTCCCATACGCCGAACCGTTCACGAAGCTGCTTTGATTTCTTCAGAAGGTACTTCGATGCCTCAGGAATTAGCCGTTCTACCTCCCTAGTGGCTACGCCCTTGGGCACAAGCGTGAGGAGCTGACATCTCTCCTGGTAAGATGCCGCCTTCACAAATGCCTCTCTGATGTTTGCCCACCACCCGTCGCAGCCGAGGCATGGTTGATCACTGCGAGAACTTGACCCACTTGGCTCCAAGGTATATGCAGTCGCCAACTTTTTTCGTACCTGTCGGCTGTGTGATTCTTCAATCTCCCGCTGTTTTCTTTCAGCATATGCCTGACGACTTTTCGGGTTTACTGTAGAAGGCATGCGCAAAGGAGTTGTTTCAAGCCCAGCAGCAGAAATCTCTTCGTTAAGACCTTCCACTACTTCGTGCTCTTCGATGCAGCTTGCTGGAGAGCTCGAGCATGGATCACTGACAGATGATGAAAGCTTCTCACCGGTGTACTGGAAGCAGTTCTGGCAGAGCACGTCATCCAACGCAAGAGCCGCGGCTTTCGATGGAGGCAGGATCATCTTCAAGGCGTCTACGTTGAGATCGGTGACATAACGAAAACGTCGGTTGCGGTATACCCTTCGCTTATGTCTCTCGAAGTAGTCCGCGCAACTCTTTCTTTTGAAGCTGAAAACTGCAGCCATGACTGAGTTCAAAATAACGCGTTCATTCCTCGGGAGGTTCCGGCTTTCTGCTTTCGACGCAGTTCCGCAGTTCTCTTATACAAATTCATTGCTGCAAGCCCTCTTCTTATATTTTTTTTATTCTCTTATACTAGATGAGTTTGTCAAATATAGACACTGATTAGCGAATCAACCTAAGGACGCCAGAAATGTCATGGTGCGTGTTATTCGCTTACAAGTAAAAATAAATAATGGATAAGAGAAACAGACAGACCATAGCACCAGGGGCTCAAAGAGGACTACAAACATTAGTTCCGGAGAAAAGCGCTGCAACGAAGACACAAAATGATAAGCCAACCAAACCTTCCTTTTTGTTCTGATGCTCCTGCCGACACTGTGGCCATGTTTGTACTGGTGATAACTTGCCACCCTTGAAACAAATAAGTATCCGCAAAAGCTGTATGTATACAGTTACGACTCCATCGACCGGCGTGATAATGTCTAGTGTTTACTGCATTTGTTTTCTCCTTTTGACAAACTTGACCCAGCCGAGCTACAGAAACTTCGGGCACCAAAGAGTCTCAAGCTTCCGCCCATAAATTTATTGGGAGAAGGACAAGGACTGCTTCACACAGTTCCACTTCGCTGTGATGCATTGCGACAGCCTGTGACGACGCGAGTTCCACTCTAACAAGATTAGTATAACCCTCTTGCAACGGCGCACGCCGAGGTCAACTAAGAGTCGCATGGGAATCTTCATGATAAGAATCGCAGCCTTTTGCTGGCGCTCGCGAAGAGGTTACTGAACCTATACTTCACCTAACAACTGGACCAGTTGCAACTGATGTAACGAACATGGCTCTTTCTTTTGATGTAAAAACAAACATAAAGAAAAGCGCCAGAAAACGTGCATACCCAGCTGGTAAGCAACACACGGGAAATCAATTAAAAAAGCTTGAAAGAGAAAAAAAATTTGCCTACGCCACTTGCCTTCTGTCATTTTTTTGTGACATTTCTTTTTTTGTAAAAAGTATATTACTAGGAATGCAACGAGGTAAAGTGGTTGTCAGTAAAATCTGATATTGCTGAGCCAATTATCAATGTTGCGGTGAAGCCCGCATACCGGAGCCGGAGGTTGGTATTACGCGATAAAAATGACTTATTCAACTGGTTGTCCTAAAACTACAACAAAAAAAGGTCAAGCAATATTTATACCCTGTTATTAAGCAGAATCTGGGCAATAAATTAAAAAAGTATGAACGAAATAAAAAATGGCTTTTTTGAGAAAATTGACTTCAAAATTTGCATATTTTTCATTTTTGTCTATATTTGTGGCAGAATAAAAACAACACGGTAAACACAATAACCAGAAAATACATGTCAATCGATAGCTTACATTGATAGCTACGCACAGATATCTGTCTCACGTCATTGCGCCCTACCGTTCGTTTTATATAGCTGTCCGAAGTTGCGTCACACTTGCTCTAGGTTGCATGTTTGAGATTTTTTAGAAAATTAATTTAAAATAACAGAAGACAGAAATTTACCTCTAAAAATAGCCAAGTCTGCGTAAATATTGCGTAATAAATATAATAATTCTGCAAGAATTCGATATTTTGTAAATGGCGGCTAAAGTCGAGATAAAATCAAATTGGGAATTTGATTTTATCTCTTTTTTTCCTAATTTCTTTCATCACAAGGATTCGGGTATCATATATATTTTTTACGATTAAATCTAAAGACCCCCCCCCCCCCCCGACAAGTTTGGTCGAATTCAAATGAAATCACCCTACTGATGTTATTTGCCAGACGAGGAAGTCTACACGAGATTGCTAAACGTTCTGCGTTCACATTATTAACCGTATAAATGACGCATGTGTGTCCCTATAAAGCCTGAGCGCAAGGTAGCTGGCTTTCTGTCTAGAACCGCTGACTTCAAGGACTGCACGATGAACACCGCAATTATTCTTCTTTTTACATCATTTTTGGCAACGGGTGAGTCTCAACTTTACGTACCGGCGGGGTCTAAAAAATCACTGCACTCGTTTAAACAAATAAAATATCACAGGTGCATTGCGTTTCACAGTATTTACGTCTTACAGGAGGTTCAAGTACATAGCCTCTATATAGTAGGTTTGGATTACCCTGATATGACAATTTTAGCGAGAGTATAGTACCGTGAAAAGAATTAGAGGCGAGTGTAACGTGCCTTGAGGAAACTACGAACTGTACTTTATAAAGTGCAATGATGCGGGTAATATTTCCGACGTCTATCCACCTTACGTAATAAACCTCATAATAGTTTATCTCGTGTTTTCGGGTATTGAATTTGTTTATGGAAGTGACGCTGACACTTACGAAAGTTACTTCTAGTCACTAAAGCAGGATTTTGGTGTCATATTGTAAATCCAAGCACGAATTTTCAGGCAATACTCCTTACAGCTTTTGTGTCAAGGTTTGTGTGAAGACAGCTTAAAAAATAGCTCGGTTCAAGATTCTAACGCCTAATATCCTCGATTATTGTACAAAATATGTTACCCTTCAATGAGCTCAATTACCTTTTTTTTTTTCCTCTCAATTGAGATGTTCGTTTACCTAAAGTGTCTAGTCTTTGCAGTGCTTATGCTGGCTTCATAGGCGCGATTAAAGTAAAATATATATATAAATATAATTTCACGCGTGCAATTGACATGTGGGTTTTACTGCATTGCTGTTGTTAATTGTTTTATTGCGCTCGGGAGTTTTTCACCGTGCGCAGAATTAGGAAGCCTTCTGCGCCCGTTTGCTCGAAGCGCTAACCGCGGCTAAAGTTAGCCGCAGTACCTTGGAGAGGGATTTTGAAATCACGTGACTGGCTCGGTAGGGATGCGGGGAAACATGGCGGTGCCCCGGTGTGTGAGCGCCACTCGCTTTTGAACTAATATGTCGTTGTAGCTGCAATATCGGGCGCGTTAGTCACCAACGAATGGTGCAGGAGGTTTTCGCTTTGCCTTACATCACTTAAGTCGTAATGCATGAGCAATGACCTCGCCGCATTTTTTTAGATAGTCTTTCGATCCTGGCCATTCCTAAGCCTAAATTAACGTGATAATTTTTGGCATGGCAACGTCTTTGGAAAGCGGATTGTCTTGACTCAATCGGCCTTGTATTGATAGCACACAAAAGCAGACGGCGTCCAAATAGACCTTTTTTTTAAATTACCCAATCCAGGGCCTGTTCGAGCTAACAGGCCCTGGATACTTTTAAGCCTTCAGTAGCGCTAACTCCACATTTAACGGGGCGGCCAGCAATTTCCATTTAAAATGTTTAATAACCTTTCTTTCCACCATTTCAGTACCGGTGGCTCTTCAGTTACCTTCGTCAAAAAATAAACTGAAAGATTCAGAGCATTTCACAGGCAAGTGTCATTAGATGTATTGAAGCAAATAATATATGATATATTTCAGAATATCGCTTATTGAACTGCGTGCCTTGACATACTTTATTCTATTTTATTATTTTCTATTCTATTCTATTCTATTCTAGGTTTCGTTTCGAGGTTCACTGAACCCAAGAGACACAACCGCTCGAGATTCTTTTTCTTTTTTTTTTTATCAAATATGGTTTGTAATTATTTGTATTCTCAATAATTAAGAAAACTAGAAAGAAAATAACAAATTGTTTCGCGCGTGAAGCCCTCCTCACGAGAAGTTTTGTTATTGCGAAGCGCTGAATTCGCAAAATAAATGAAAACAAAAAAATCTTTAGTGTGTTAGCCAATGCACAACGTTTGGTAAGTGGCCCACGTTGGCTTATTTTGTGGTGTCGTTTATAATAAATTTTATCATCAGTTTTCTGCAGTTTTGAAACACTTAGATTGATATCTCTTGGGAATTTACACTTCTTGGGATATTTTGTTTATTCGTAGTCATAGATTACATTCTTGCCACATTTAGAGGTTACAATTAATATCTACTTCAGAATCAGTCAATTTTATTGTACACATACACAAAACAAAAGCGTCATTGCTTATAGCTGCTGAGTTTATCAAAAATATGCTCGCGTAATAAATTCACGAATAGAGGGAAACACGTGGTAAGTATTCAATATAGACACGAATACTTTTTAATTTGTTTATAATTAGTTTTTATACTTTTTTTATAATTAAGCCACAAGACCCCCGTCGGCGAAACGGAAAGTGTAATATTTATAATAGAAAATACTAAAAAATAAAAAAAAGCGACAAGAGTAAATTATGCACAAAAGACACCAATTGTAGATACAAGCCAAAGAAATCCAAACGTGTGAAATTACACTGGAAGCCATTACAATAGCTTACTTTTTCACACCAAGTATTACTATAAGATCCACTACTATTGTATGTAGTAAATCCAAACAGCCCCAAGGAACAAGGAGATTACCTTCATAGAAATGTCGCTTATGACTATAAGAAGTTATCTTTTTAAGAGTCCCAATAAACCGTTTTCAGAATTCAGTGCCATCTGGTTCTTCAAATAGCAGTTCAACTTTTGCGGTACTAGTGATAATGCACCTGTACCATCTTATCTGACACCATGACTTTCGCCAGTCAACGGCAGACTAGAATGCGTTTCTTCCCGCACAGTGCTTTCTTGATCTCTTTCAGCTTCGATGGTCGTGAAGATTTAATCAGTCAGAAGGAAGTGTCAAACCGCATAGACACCTTAATGATTTTTATGCACCCAGGTGCTTTAGAGCTGGTTGTATGCCACCAACAGAGTGTCTGAGCCCGGGTAAGAAATGAACGTTCAAGCACTCTATTTTATTATAACTCTGACAGCAGCCGATGCCACGACTTGATGGAAACAATCGAGCAGCGCCAAATGCAGATATGCATACGTTGCTGAGGGAAAATTAAACGAAGGCACTTAAAGTGATTGTCCGGTCGAAACCGGAAGTACTTAAGTTTTTGGGCTCGTTACGTCGAGAGAGCCTTTATGTAGACAAACAACATTTTTATTTTGATATATGATCTCCCCGTTAATAATTAAACCTTTCAGGAACGTATATACGAAACTGCACCCCGAATTTCGCCAGTGTCAATGGCTGACATCCGTAGCTGCTGCGTGACGTCACAAAACGCAAAGGTTTTTTTTTTTTTTTATTTACAGAAAAAAACCTGCTTCGCCGTGAGGCATTATTGCAGGGGGTGGGTTTCATACAAACACTTTTGTTTTAGAACATAAGTAATACACAAAAAAACAAACAAAAAGCAAAACACTTTCTGTGGATCAATAATGAAATTAAATAAAAACATACTGTCTATAAAAAACACTACACAATTGAAAATTCAAAAAACCAAATTTGCCGCAAGCACATCTTTCGGCAACCTATTCCACTCTTCAATGGTTTTCGGAAAGAAGGAAAAAGCAAAGGTGTCGGTGCGGCAAGAGTACGGTCTAATCTTCTTGGGGTGATCTGCTCTTTCTGACAGATAAAACGGTTCATGTAAAAACACATCTCTGTTAATTAATAGTCTATTGTTGTAGATATCATCTAAAAATTTCATCCTAAACAGTTTTCTACGCTCACTGAGTTTCTCCCAATGTAGGGCATGTTTCATGTTAGTGACACTCGCTCCAAGTTCGTAATAGTTTAGTACAAATCTAGCACATTGATTTTGTATCTTTTCAAGTTTGTCTATTAAATACCTTTGGTGTGGGTCCCAGACAACTGAGGCGTATTCCATACACGGACGGATATATGTAAAGTATAAAGTTTCTCTAACTTTCCTCGGGGCTTGCCGAAAATTTCTCCGTACAAAATTAAGCATTCGTATTGCCCTTAGGGCTATCATTTCAACATGTCCCGTCCACGTTAAATCATTAGATAACATAACACCTAAGTATTTTACATTCGAGCTAGGTTTAATTATTTCATTATTTATCATGTACACGGAAGTAGTGGGATTTTTTTTCTTAGTAAATTTAACATGCACGCACTTTTTAACATTTAGGTTCATTCTCCAATTTTTACACCATACAGAAATTTTATCTAGATCACTCTGTAAAGTATTAATATCGTTAGAATCATTAATTAATCTATAAATAACACAATCGTCCGCAAATAATCGAATATACGATTGCATGCCAGAAATAATGTCGTTTATATAGATCAGGAAGAGCAGAGGACCCAGTACCGAGCCCTGGGGGACACCAGACTCGACTTTTACATACTCAGATTTTTCCCCACCGAGCACGACACATTGCCCCCGTCCACTTAGGTAATCTTTAATCCAAGCCAGTACCTTGCTATGCAGTGACAGTAAGCTAAGTTTATAAAATAACAAATCATGATCTACAAGGTCAAATGCCTTTCGAAAATCCAAAAACAAACAATCCACTTCGTCTCTAGCGTCAATGGCTCCAGCAAGAAAATGAAAGACATCAACAAGTACTGGTTACAGGATGCTCCAGTACGAAATCCGTGTTGATCTTGAATAAGAAACTTTTCGACGTTTAGATGAGCAATGAGATTACTATAAATGACGTGTTCCATTAGCTTGCAGCAAATGCACGTCAAAGAAATAGGTCTATAGTTTTCCACACAGTTTTTTGCTCCTGACTTGTGTATAGGCACCACATTTGCCATTTTCCAATCAGATGGAAGCTTTTGTTCCAGTAGAGATTTATTAAAAAGAACACACAAGTAATTTGCCAACTCTTCCGAACAGTTTTTCAATATAACCGGAGAGATGTTATCCGGTCCGATTGCTTTCTGGACATCAAGTTCTCGCAACAGCGAGGCTATACCATTATATGTTATTTCAATGGGTGACATGACATGTTTAATTTTTTGTTGCACGTTTGGGTGACAGCACTTTGCAGCAGGTTTAGAAAAAACAGATTCGAAATATTTATTTAGATGCGTTGCCTTTCTTTTTTCATTCTCGATAAGTTCATCGCCTACTAAAAGAGGAGGAACAGACGTATCGTCCTTGTTATTTGCTTTTACAAACTTCCAAAATTCCTTAGGGTTCATTTTAAGTTTATTTTCTAACTGCTCGTAATACGAGTCTTTGGATCTTTTTATTGTAGCTTTAAAAAGACTATTTATGTTTTCTAATTTCACCCTATTGGATTCACTCCCCCTACTCTTATATCGAAGGTATGCTCTTCTTTTTCGTTTGATAATCTGTTTCACCTCTTTTGTCACCCAGGGCTTATTCTTAGTTTTTGAGGATTTTACTCCGGAGGGGATGTATTTTTCAACTAAGTCATGGATTTTACATTTGAACATGTTCCAGAGTGCATCAATACTAACGTTATCGGATTGTTCTAAAAAATACGAAAAAAAACTAACAAGTTCGCTTCTTATGGTATCATATCGTCCTTTATCGTAATAAAATATTTTTCTAGCTTGACATTTATATTTATTTATTTTTGAATGGACCAAATCAGCTGTCACAATCTTATGATCAGAAATGCCCGGTAGCACACAAACATTGTCTATGGCCCCCGGTAGGTTGCACAACAACAAATTCAATACATTTAACAGTCTCGTTCCCTCCATGACGTATTGTGTTAAGTCAAACATTTCCACAATGGCACTCAATTTAGTATGAAGCGTGCTTCCTAAGTAGGTCGCCTTGCCGTCCTCCCAAATTAAATCGGGAATGTTAAAATCTCCGCCCAGAAGGATATACTCTTTTGAGGATGGAAGGATCAAATCAGCTAGTTCATCTAAGCCGTTACTGTTCTCGTGTGGAGGACGATAGTATACACCAACCGATAAATGTTTACCGTCTAAACACATCTGGGACCATGCTGTTTCTATAGTTACATCTGGTATTGGCAAAGGTGTAGTCGGAACACCTTTTTCCACAAGGACAAACACGCCTCCGCCGTGCGAATTTCTATCCTTTCTGTAAACAGCATAATTATCTGGAAATACTTCGTTTGATCCTATAGTGTCATCCAACCAGGATTCCGTCCCCAAAACAATCGTAGGTCTGACCGTTTCGATTAAACCCATGAATTCGTCCACCTTATTTTTTATACTGCGGCAGTTAATAATCATAACTGTGCCCACCTCCATGTTTCTCGTGGTCACAACAGGCTTGTTTGCCCCTTGTATGTCACGACGATTGGAATTGCCTAGGTATGATGAACGGTTTGCGCCGTTATACTTTACGTTTAAGCTTCATTGGATGGGTGCCTGGTTTGATGCCTGGTTTGATGCCGATGGAATATCGATAAGTTCTCTAGACTGGATATCGTCGACCTCACGCACAATGTCAGATCCATGATCAAACATAAAGCACCTATCGTTGATATGCAGTCGGTCCACTCGCAACCTGAACCGGCTGTTTTGCGTTTTCGCAAATTCTACTAGTTTCCTTCTTGCCAGCTGAACTGGCCTAGAAAAGTCATCACTAAC